AGTGAGCACTTGGTAAGCATCATTTTGTCTGGGCGCAGCCAGCTCAGCCACAGCCACCCAGTGGAGGAAGCAGCTCTAAGCTTATTAAAGTATGAACTCTGACTTTCATGGAGCTCTATTTTAGGGTGTTGTTCATTTAACTTTGATGCATTAAACACTTTTTTCCCCAGTGCTGAGGTTAGAACCTAGGGCCTCATGCATGTTAAGCAAGTGTTCTACCACTGAACTATATCCCAATCCCCTTTAATTTTATCAAATTGAGCCAAGGTCTCATTGAGCTGCCTAAGCTATTCTTGATCTTACGATCCTCCTGACAGCCTCCTGAGTAGCTGGGATTACAGGTGTGTGGTACTGTGCAAGGCTAGCATTAAACACTTTTAAAGACTTTTTAAATTATTTTTTTATTAAAGATTGCAAAGATACATAACAAGAAATGAAGATACTAAATAAAAAATTTCAAATGTACATATATATGACAGCAAAAAAGGATATGAAATAAATAAGAATTTATGTAACAGACTAATTGAAATAGATTAGTTTGATATGATCTTCAAACATTATGTTCTTTCTCATTTTCTTATATTTTTGAAATAATATAATTATAAGTAAAACAAAGTTACATATTATAGTTGAGAAATTGTCCTCAAAATTTTATGATTTATAAACTCCTTGGTTTAATTAATTGATAAATATCATATACTTGTTGATTGTACCACTTACATTTTCTAACAAAACTTCCAACAGAAAAAAATATACTTATATTTGAAATCCAAAAGCAACTAAAAAAATTCACATTTTTAAGATCAGATTTTTCTGATTCTATTTTATTATATCCCATACTTATTTTTATTATATTTTTATAAGCATAATGATATAATTTAACACCAATAGATATGTAATATTCTTTCCAAATGAATGACTGTGAATTAAGTCAAGCATGTAATTTAAAGAAATCATACGGTTGCCAGAGAAACTATCAATATGCCAAATGTGCACAATCCTACCACATTCATGCCCATGTTTCTCATTTAATAGTACACACATATATGTAAAAACCTACCCCCCACACATATACACAATGCATATTTTCTACAATACAATATATACTTAGGTATAATAAAACAGTGCAGCGAGGTGTGGAATGTTGGTGATTTGTATAATTTGAGAAAAAACAAATATCTTTGAAGGAGTTGGAGAATTTGTAATATGTATCAGATACTAAATGATATTAATGATTAAGTATAGTTATAATAAAATTTACTTAAAAATTAATATTCATCATCAGTAGAAAATAGGTACAAAGATATATTGATAACATATATTTATCTTAACAAATTTCCAACCAAACAAGCTGCAGTGACAGAAAAGGAAGTTTGTAGAAAGCACAGATAAAAGAGGAAAATGTCAGATGGGCCTTAATACTTTTCATACTACTCATATATACAGATTTCATAAATTCTCAAATAGAAAAGCAAAGAAAATGAGAACCAAAATAACTCATCAATTTGGTAGACCAACATATAGAGATAAGGATTAATGTGTTGATAAATTTTAAAAATATGAAATGTAAAGGCTGAGATTTAGCTCAATAGTGCTGCACCTGCCAAGGAAGAACAATGTGCTGAGTTTAATCCCCAGCATCAGAGGAAGAAAAAGAAGAAAAGAGGAAAAAAAAAAAGCATATATACTTTCTGACATACTCAATAAATCAAAAATAAATTATTTGTTATCTCTTCCTCTTGAATTGTTCCCTTCACAAGGATGTAGTGAGCTTCTTTGTCTCTTTTGATCAGTTTAAGTTTGAAATTTACTTTGTCTGTGAGTAAGATTGTTACCCCTGCTTTTTTGTGTGTGTGTGTGTGTGTGGGGAGCTCCTGTTACATGAAGAAGTTTTCTGTCCTTTCACTTTCAGTCTATGGGCTTCTTTTTACACTAGACTTGTCTTGTATACAACATATTATTGGATCTTGCTTCTTAATCCATTTTGCTGGTCTATTTCTCTTGATTGGTGAATTGAGTCCGTTAATATGGATGGTTATAACTGATATGTACTAACTTATTATTATCATGTTTTTTTTTCACCTTCTTTTAGTTTCTTGGATTGCCTATTTGATTTTCTCTGTTGGGCCTCATTGTGTTGTTACCTTCATTGTCTTTTTCTAGGATATTGTTTAGAATTTGTTGTAGTGCTGGTTTGGTATTCATAAAGTTTCTCAGGTGTTCTTTATCCTGGAAATATCTTATTTCTCCATCCATTTTAAAAGAAAGTTTTGCAGGATACATCAGTCTAGGTTGGAGGTTGTTTTCTTTTAGTACTTGAAATATCTCATTCCAGGCTCTCCTTAACCTAAGGGTTTGTATTGAAAAGTCTGCTGTAATGCTGATAGGCTTTCCTTTGCATGTAATTTGTTTCTTATCTCTTACTGCTTGTAGTATTTTTGTTCTTCTGTTGGGTTTCTGGGATCTTGATTATTATATGTCTAGGTATAATTTTTTTTTTTTTTTTGATCACAGCTAGTTGGAGTCCTATAT